GGTTTAGGATTAAGAAAACGTTTAAATGCTGGTTCGGCTTCTCTAACATTTATTAAGTTTGTCAGGTTCTAAAATGGGGTTTGTTATTACCTCTGTCTATCCGCCATTAGTTTGATTTTTTTTTATTAAGAGGTGTCATTTCTAAATAATTATATTTGACTAGCTTATTTGCTGATTATTTGCAATAAAAGAATAATTAATTACTTACCTAGTTTTACTTTGTCAAGTTTTACACATGCTTCATGATATGCAGACCTTAATTCTGCCTCAGAATAAAGAATATCCTCATGTAAAGTATATATGTTCTATTTTGAAATCTCTGAATCTTTTCTTTTTTTTTTGAGCTGGCAATTGATAATCATGTGAATCTAAATATCATCTTATTTATATAAGCAATAATGGCACATTACTATTGCATAATAATTAATTAATCGTCCAGATGCTTGCCTTCTTGAGTGCATTTCCTTCTTCTTTTTGTGCTGTAGAAAGATAAATATCATGCTTGGGATGTGAACAAGTGCTAAAAAATAAAATTCTAATTCCATAAATATGTGGGAGTAACAAATTGCGAAAAAAGCTTCTATAGCTGATTCCCGATTAACCCACCTTTTTTCCAAATTACTATGGCAAAATACATAGCTTGCAAGGATCGTGTGTATACTAGTACAAATTTAGTAACATACATTCCCAAATTTGTGTCACCCAATTCGGAATTTGGAATTTGGGACTTGGCCCTATGAATTTGGGCGGCAAGTATAATTCCAATATATATTTATCAATTTTCCAAGTAATTTAATTTCTCATGGTTTATGTTTCTTTTTTCTGATGCTACTGGCCAATGTTCAATTATCAATTAGTTAATTAATTGATATAAAATTTCTTTTCAAAAAAAAAGTTTATGGTCTGATTATCTACAATAGAATAAAAGATGAGACAATCGAAAAAATGTATTAATCATTAAGGAATCATTCATCATGATCTTCATAGTGGTAATATTCTTCAAAATGAAATGTTTCATATATTGCAGACTTAGGATTATCATGCA